GACTGGAGTAATGATGCTGAAAATTCAGCTTTTACATCACAGGAACAAATAACATTTTAAAATATATTAACATTTTACTAATTGTTTCATAAAATTATTGCTTTTACTGTGTTTTTTGACCAAATAAATGCAGCCTTGGATACTTCTTTTAAAAACACCCAAGGGTTTTGAACAGTAGTGTATTTATGTTATTGTTTTATTTTACTCACTTAATTCCATTTATCCTCAAACTCTTCTTGTCCAAAAGACCCATTGACTAGAAAAGGAGAATATTTGATTCGTTAATTAAACAACTGAACTCTCAAATTCTCAAACCTTTTATCTCTATCACAGGACACTTACTGGTGTCTCATAGATGCTCAGTGTGTCCTGCGTCATTCGGGCAAAGAACTTCCCATCTGGACTCCACCTGAACAGAACAAGATTTGGATTACGTACTTATATTAAACATTATATATGTTATATTTTGACTGTAATCAAATTGGTAACGTGTTCTTAAAATCAACTCAGACCACACTTACTTGAAAATTGGCCAGTGGGCAGAGCTTTCACAGTGAAAGCCTCTTTTCTTCTGTCCTGTGAGAACATCCCAGATGATGATGGCCTGTGGGTCATCTTTAGTGTCCATAAGAGGGCTGAATGTTACAACATATCTGCAAAAACGAATTACATAAAAAATGTGTAATAGCAAAAACAAAAAAAAGTATAATAATAATAATAATAATAAAATCATCTGACTGTACAATGTAATACACAATGATACACTGGAAAATATTCTCCTAGTTTAAAGATCTCTTTAAAATATATGAAGTAGTGAATGAACGATTCATCTGCTGTTATTTGGTTATTTTGATACTGTCACCATTGACTGACAACCAGGGTTATTATTGCTAACCACAAAAAATCATTACTTTAAATAAAATAAACATTAACAAATAAAATATTTTTTTAATCATATTTTCAAACTAAACTAAAAAAAACAAGTTAATAAAAATTATATATATACACATTTATAAAAAATAAATAAAACTTTCAAATTAAAATGAAAACATTTTTTTATTACAAAATATTAATGTCCCTCCAGGTGCTCTTTTTTAATTTTTTAGTAAATCGAGTAAACTTTGTGCATAATACGTAATAATTTAGGTTTTCTTTTAATCTCATTAACTCTATATATGTGCGTTTATAAATAAACAAACAAAGATTGAAACAATATGAACGCATTTCTACACGAGTCCATGACATACCTCTCACAAGGTGAGAAATCAATGAGCTGAACCCCCTGATGACTGAACCTCTGGATCTGCTTGAACTTCTCGCCGCCCCAGAGAGCAATGCCTCTCTGATGGAATGTGGCCAGATAGGTGCCTTTTGGAGACCAGCGCACGTATGTCTCGGTCCAGCGCTACAAGCAAAACGCAACAAAAAGATACTGAATACAGTACGCACGGCCACATAGTTATCATATTTTAAAGATGAATTGGTGAACTCACCGCTCTCTCCTCTACTTCAATAGGTTCCTTGACATCATTAGCAAATATGCCTGTTCTTTCACCAGAGTCATAGATTACGCTGTACTGATCACGACAGTCAGGATCCTCCAGCCAGTGACGCAGATTCCCCTGAAACCAAAAGACCAAATATCAAACGAATACACAAATTTAAACGCATGTTACTGTATTGCAGGGTTGGATTACACACAATCACACTACTCACAAAATCTTTAAAGGGCTGCTTCTCAGGAGCTTCCCACTCATCACTGATTGACATGTACCTACAGAGATGAGACATTTTTGATTTGTCAGTTATTTAGCATTGTTTCATTACCGCAATTACTACATTTTTCTTCTCTTTGGCCAGTAAAACAGGACTTTTATTTTTACATTTTAATTGCAGAATGTGTCATTTACTATGCTGATATCAAACAGTGTGATATCATCTATATCGGCCACCCTGTTCTCTAACGCAGTGGTTCCCAACCCTGGTCCTGGAGGCACCCCAACA